ATAATAGTTTAATAAATTAATATAGGTAAGTTGTATTACATATTAATTTCATATTTTAATTCATAAATATTATTTAAAAAGTATTTTTAATTTATAAAAATTAATGAATATTTTTTACCCGTGCATCGCACGGGATTCGTACTAGTGAGATAATAAAAGGAAGAGACTTATGTGAGATTTAAGAGCTGCAAAACGTGAGGATGAGAGCTGAAAAATTGAGCAAAAAAAAAAAGAAATAAATTGAGCAAAAAGATATTTTCAAAAGTTGGTAAGGAAACAAGGAAAAAAAGTTCCACTATATTGAAGAGAGAGAGAGAGAGAGAAAGAGAGACGATTGAATCTGAAGGATTTGGGCTTTATGTTGTACAAGTCTCTCACTGAGCGAAAATTTAAGGGGTTCGGTACGTTGTCTGCAAGAATTCTCCCTATTTTCACCTATTTTCTACTATTGATGGATCAAATCCAAAAAACATAGGGATGGGAGAATAAATTTCTACCTTTCGAGAAACCCATTCTTCTTTGTTTCTATGGTCTAACAAAGTTTGGTAGCTCGCAAGGCTCATAACCTTGAGGTCACAGGTTCAAATTCCATCTTTGCATTCAAACTAGGACTTTACTGAATGAGATATGAATATATCTTGTTTTCTAGTTGGCCATAATCCTAGGTCTCCATATTAGATGCATGATCTTCTCTCTCAAGACTCCCGCAGTTATCCAGCTCCGTCGAGCCCTTCTCTTTTAGGTTTTCTTACTCGAGATACTAGCCTTCTTGGACCTCATTCTTCTGACCCACTAGTTAAACCGCATATCACCTCTTTATCTGAAGAACGGGTCGAAGCTCTTATCGTCGTATAACCAAGCTACCTCCTGGTCATGCTTGACATACGAGCTCTTAAGACCTCTGAGTTGATGCCCGCCATACAGGTCCATCGAGTTATTCCAAATATTATATTACTTGTACACCGAATTATTCCAAATTTCAGAACCCAAATATTTTTTGCTATTCAAATATGATACCCTTAATGGCATGATTGTTATGATGGAATGACGTGAGAATGAAATGATTATTCTCTTAGTAATTCTTATTTCCATAATTGATATATTTTTTAGAAAGTAATGATCATTCCAATAAGAATTGCAAAATCAAACTCCGTGGGATTAGTCATTACATAACTAATACATAATTTTTTCATTTCCATATCTTTAAGATTCAATTTCTCATAAATATAATATCAACAAATAACAAAAAAAAAATTATATCATATATTCTATAGACAATGATTAAACTATATTAAATAAAATCATTTTAAAAAATAATTTTATTTAAATTTATTATTCATATTTATTTAGATATATTAAATACTTATATGAAAATAAAACTCACAAAAAATGCATTTATAAATAGTTTAGAAAGATACTATTTTATTTTTATATAATCACATATATTATATATTTGTTCAAAAATTGAATTATATTATAAATTAAATAATTATATCCGACCACATATGCTTATATAGGTTTATGTAAAGATATATTTGTATTAATTACTAAGTATGTAAATACATAATTCACTTATTTATCACATAAGATGAGTGTAATAATACAAAATATATCTATTAAAATATTATATTTTAAAAAAATATATTTTAGTATTATCGTAAATAAAAAATAATATTAATATAAATATTAAAAGTATATTTTTAATAAAATAGTGATAAATGATACTACATGATGATAATAACATTCTATTTAGGCCTTATTTATTTTGCATATCAAACAGATTAATGGAAAAATTCATTTTTCATAATAATTTCATTTTTCAGTTCATTCCATTCCTAACAAATTTCATTTACATAAGTGTAAAAGTATTAAAATAACATCGGATATCATAATCATAACATTTGTGTGGACGTATTAAAATAACATCAGATATCATATTCTTAAATTAGTTTCAGTTGAATCATATTTTGGATTGAGCTTTGCTGCTGTTTATGTTCACATGAGATTTTTAGAATATTTTTCTGTAAATAAATGATATCAAAGTTGACTTATATGTAATTGTTCATAATTTTAATAACCTCTTTTTAATATATAATATATTTTATAATTTTAATTTCTAACTTCAGCATCACATAGGTAATACTTGACCATATTTTGTGTGTTGATATATTTCATGTGATACATAACGCGACTGGAATGATATTTTTAATAAAACGTGGTTTTGAAATATAAACAATTATTGTACTCTCTCTCTCTCTCTCTCTCTCCTCTGCGAAGAAAGAAAAAAAAGCAGAACTCTAGATCTGAAGCAGTCCGCCTTCCTCAGCCGCCACCGCGCTTGGCCAGCGGTCGGCGGCCCCTAACGGTATGAATCTTCCCCTTTTTATTCTGCTCTTCCTCACGCTTCTTTTGGATCGAGGCCTCTCGGTTGCGGATGGTCTTCACCACTCCGGTGCCGTTCCGCTCAATCCTTCTTGGGGTTTATCGATCGGGTGTTGGTGGAGCCGTGGTACCGTTCCGGGGAGGGATTCGGCCCGATTGCTCGGCGACTTGTTTGCTGTACGTTGGGCGGCTTGGGTGCGCAAGGCCATCCCCCTGGCCTCGTTTCTTTGGTCGATGCAGGTCGATGGGGGTCGGCGTTTCAACGCTTCCTCCAGTGGTGTTGGTCGGGGGTGTTGCAACGGTGGTGTGGTGGTTTTGTGCGGCTGGCCGGCGATTGGGGTCGGGACTGGGTCTTGGCACTCCCTTGCCTTTCGGGGGCTATTGGGTGTGGTGGTCGTGGTCCGGGTCGACCTGCTGTGATTCCGGGGTTGTGGTTTCGATTCCGTTAGGCAACCGAGTGGTTTGGCAGTTTCGGGGTTGGTGCTTCTAGCTTCGGGATTCGTGGTTGGCTTGTGTCCGCTAGTTCGGTTAGGTGTTGCAACTTAGGAAGGGCTAGATTTTTCTGTGTTTTTTGGTGTTTTGTTTGTGTTTTTATGTTTGTTGTAGTTCTTTAGTTCGTGTGTTGTGTCGATGTGTTTTTGGTCTGGGCCGTTGGCCTCAGTGAACCCGAGTGTGCTTTTATTATCCTATTGGGATTTACACTCGGGTATTACCCTGTTGGGGTCGTTATGTGTTGTATTACCCTGTTGGGGTCGTTATGTGTTGTATTACCCTGTTGGGGTTTGTGTGTTGTCTGTGTTTTTAGTTTATTACCCTGTTGGGGTCGGCTCTAGGCGATCTTTGGACCTGTCCTCTCTTTTTTCAGTCGTTGGTTGTTTCTATTCAGCTGTTAGCTGTTTTGTATTCAGCCGTTGGCTTTTGCACATTTGTGCTAGTTATATAACAGTTCTATCGTTTCGAAAAAAAAAAATATAAACTATTACCATTTACCAAAAATAGTAGCAAAAAAATAGGTCAGAATTTAATGCAGCCCATAAATAGTAAGTTTTATTATTTTCCTTATCTTTTTCTTTAGAAAATAATACACAGTAAAGGCTACCTTAAATTTCGAGTTTTAGTTCATTTTATTATTTAAAATATCCAGCTAAGATCTATTAAGTGTGGATGTTTTTTTATTTTTATTTTTTTTATTTGAAACAACGAACAATATTAAAATCTTAGTCTCTATATTTAAAAAATCTCAATTCAAAATATAACAAAAGTTTTAAAATCTCGATCTTTATAATTGTGTCTTTAAAAAAAAAATTTGAACGTTAAATATATTCTTTAAATTGCATAATCAAATCAATTAATCTTAATTTTTTAAAAATTACTATATTTATTTTTTTATTAATATGCATAAAGTAAATGTAATTAATCTTTGGGTCTTTTCTCTCCTTAAAGTCGAGCTCGACGCGATGGTTATAACATATGCTCGACTAAAAGGAGAGACATTTTTTATTAATATGCATAAAGTAAAAATAATTAGTCCATCTTTAGATATATAATTTATAATCTTAATATACTATCATTTGGTGTAGACATTTATTATATGAATCATAAAATATTTTTATTTCATAAAATATATTTAAAAAATAAGGATTTTTTTTTTACCAATCGGGTGATTGAATTAGGGTACAACCCAAGTTGATTGAATAACTTTTAGGTGACATTTAAATAGTAAAAAAACTTGATACAATTTGGTTGTCCCAGGTGATTAAGTTATGTATCGATTTGACCAGAGAAAATCAATTATTTAACCTAAATATAAATTTTAATATTGAAAATACTTTATTACGCGAATGTGATGTAGTCCAAACTTCAAATAATAATATTAACAATATTTTTATAACTACATGTTTAATGATTTATGTATATTTATATATCACTTTATTACGTTTAATGTTTAATGAATATTTATTTGAAGCGGGCCGTCATCGAAACGAGCAATTTATTTTATTAAATCATTTATGGTTTGTTCATATTTTAATTTATAAACATTTTAATATATATAGTACTTTTTGTAATAAATTTAAATAAAAGGTGTTACTTAAATATCTAAAATTTATAAATTCAAATGTTTAAACTAATTGATAAACAATTTATAAATCTCTATTTTATTTAAATATGTAATTTTATTTAAAATAATTTCAAATGTAACAAAATTTATTTAAAAAATCGTATCGATCCTATCAGTCCAATCGACTGGTGTTGACGGATTCGATAGCAAATATTTTATTCAAGCAACTAGACTGGTTATAAACCAATCTTTGGTTCATCCGGTCGGACTGTGTCTAATCCGGTTTAATTTAAAAACAGTGGGTAAATCATGATTATAACAACTCACGTAATCGTAATAAGATCAAACTCACACAGAAAAAAGGGTATAATCCTATCTAATTTAAAAATAATAAGTAAATCATGATTTGTTATTTATATATTTAATTTGTAATACAATCGTCTAGTTTATAATAAATAGATCCCCAACAAATCAATTTATACAATTGACTCAAACAAATCTTTCAGATTCCAAGCCACACCCACACAGAAGCCCCATGGTCAAAAACCACACTCAATCACTAACCCATTGGTCATGAATATTTTATTTCACAACTTGTCCTTTTTTATGGTTTCTTTATTATACTCATCAATCCCCAGAAAAATAGAGGACTGTACTGTCTTCCCAAAGAGAGAGAGAGGGACGCTCAACGGAACAATAATGCTGTAAAAAGCTGCACGCTTTTAGTTGTAGAGATAGACGATAAAGAGAACCCATAGGCAGGCAGGCACTACAATACGGCTTCGTGCCTCGCGTGATCTGCCCCTCTGTCCAGAATGAGGCTGGGGGTTGGGTGTCCTGGAGTCCCGGAATGTAACGGCGGCGCCGCGACGGAAGAAGGCGGCGGCGCGGCGGCGGTTGTGGTGGTCGGAGTGAAGCTGGACTGTCGGAGCCGGGAGCTGCTGACCTGGGCGCTGGTGAAGGTGGCGCAGTGTGGCGACTGTGTTATTGCTCTCCATATCCTCGATCCGAACGCCGGTGAGAACTAGTTTTTACATGCCGAGTTATGTGCAGTTTGTTTTTCGGTTGACCTTTGCTTTTTTTATTTTTTATTTTTACATTATCGAAGGAGTTTTCTCACGGTACTGGAGTGACGATAGGTCTTGTGAGATAGTAGGTGGGGCGGAAAATTTAGTGTGAATTAAGTGGAATTCGAGTTGGTCTTTTTAACCTCTTGCAGAAATGTGGTTAAATGATTTGTTGTTCCAGTGAGTAATTTTTTTTTCTTTTTACATGTGTTCTTCTAATTTCTGTTGGGATAAGATAAATCGACGCTGCTTTCGTTGGTGAAGAATTTCGATTCGGTGCTTGCTGCATATGAAGGATTTTGCAACCTAAAGCAGGTGACCCTGTGTTTTATCTCTTGCTTCTCGTTATTGCTATGTGAAAAGGTTAAGAACATTGAATATATCTGAGCTAAAACTCTTCAATTCTTCAATTTGGTTTGAACACATACCTCCTTTCTACACAAATCGTATCATTTCCTGAATTTTGTAATCTCGATTTTCTAGTTTTCAGTGCATTGAGGTGGTACATATTATCAATCAAGCAACCTGTCAACTGTTTTTTCTTCCACTAATTCTTTTGGTGGGAGGGTTAGGGAGTTGGGAGTAATTTACTTGATCCTACATCTACGACTATTTACGTTCCTTTATTTGATGAGGTTTTACATTTCCAATCTTGTCTAGATTTTGAGTTCGATCCTTTTTTTTTTGGTTTCCTCCATTGCTTGTTGGCCCAAAGTATGAAGTACACGATTTCATTGTTGTACCTTTACATCCTTCTTATTTCCAAGATGGATCAGTCTGAAATATTCGCAACTGTGTAGGTGGATCTGAAGCTAAAGGTCTGCAAAGGATCTCCAGCGCGTAAAATCCTTTCCTGGGAGGCCAAATCGTGTGGCGCAACAAGTCTAATAGTTGGTACTTCAGAAGTCCATCACACAGTTCGGTCGAGGATCTCTGTTGCTAAATACTGTGCTAAGACTCTCCCAAGGAATGTGTCTATTATGTGTGTTAACAATGGTAAGGTTGTATTCCAAAGAGAATCAACTCCTTCCACTCACCTGGAGTTTGTAACTCTTAATGCATCAGAATCAAGATTCAAAAGGAGGAAAACCCTGGCTAGAAGCCCATTGAGTTTACCAACCGAAGATGTTTTATCACCATCAGGTAGTGGGACAGATGGCATCTCCATGGTTATGGTACCCGTTAAGAAGCAAGAAATTCCAGAATCTAAATCAGCTTGGACAGTACTGCGTAAGGTATTTTTGCATGGCCACCAAGTATCTGAAGCTGCTTCTCCTAAGAAAGCAGTAGCACATTGGAAATTTAAACTACCAAACAGACAATCTGTTGCAGCTGTTTATCCTGACCAGAAACAGATTAGTGCATCCATTAGGGGTGATTATCGTTTAACTTTGGATGAAGAGAAGGGTGCAAATGTACCGTTTTCAGATAATACTAACCATGATGCTTGTGCCAATAAGATTTTCTTGGAAGAACTTAGAGGCCTTGGGGAGAAATACTCAACAATATGCCGATTGTTTAGCTACCAGGAACTCCTGTTTGCTACAAATAATTTTTCACCTGGTTTGTTCTCTTTATTGTTCTTTATTATAGTACTTCCCACTTTTGGAAGACTCATTGGTTAATTTTAACATTATCTTTCAGAAAACTTGATTGGGAAAGGGGGATGCAGCCGAGTTTATAGGGGCTGTCTACCTGGAGGCAAAGAGATAGCTGTAAAAGTCTTAAAGCCATCAAAGGATGCCTTGAAACATTTTGTTTCAGAAATTGAAATTATTACGTCTTTTCATAAAAAGAACATTATATCTTTGTTAGGCTTTTCTTACAAGGAGAGCCAACTACTTTTGGTATACAATCTTTTACCCAGAGGATGCCTGGAAGAGAATCTCCATAGTATGTTTCCTGCTTTTATGTGGATATACCAATATAGTTTAGCTGTTAATGAAGTACACTGCATAATATATGTCCTTCCAATTAGGTACTCCAGAAACTGGAAATATAATTGGTTGGGAGGAGAGATATAAAGTTGCTTTGGGAGTTGCAGAGGCACTGGACCATCTACATAGTGCATCTGAACCAATTATTCATAGAGATGTTAAATCTTCAAATATCCTTTTATCAGATGATTTTGAGCCACAGGTAGCTTGTTGTTTGACTACTTTTATCTTTGCTATCACTTACGGAATTTTTAGTTGTGCATTAAACCTGGTAACACTCGTCTGACCATACAGCTGTCAGACTTTGGTCTTGCTGCCTGGGCTTCTAGCTGCTCACATCATATGGATACCTCTGATGTAGTTGGAACGTTTGGGTGAGTTTATTTATTTAACTAGATATTCAATTATTGGCAAATCATGGGATGACACTTTCTTTCTTATGGCAGCTACTTGGCTCCAGAGTATTTCATGGACGAAAAACTGAACGAAAAAATCGATGTCTATGCATATGGTGTTGTACTCCTTGAGCTCTTGTCTGGTAGAAAGCCAATTGATGGGGCACTTGCAAAGGGCCAGGAGAGCTTGGTGTTGTGGGTGAGTGTCAAACATTTGTATTTTTCTGAGATTTAATTTTGGAAAGGTTCAGACAGTTCAAGCCAAAAAAATTATATAGCAAATAACGAATGAACACTTTCAGGCAAAGCACATTGTGAAGGAAGGGAAAATTTCAGAATTGCGAGACCCAAATTTGATTAGTGCTTGTGATGATCAATTTGAGAAAATGGTCTTAGCAGCAACTCTCTGTATCAGGCACCTGCCTCAATCACGTCCAGAAATTAGCCAAGTAACTAAGCATGTTCTTGTAACTTTGGAACAGCATTAAAAAGCAGTGCCCCATGTTTAATTTTTTGGTTGTTTGCTACAAAAACAGGTCCTAAAACTACTGCATGGAGATAAAGAAGTTATTGAGTGGGCAAGGCAAGAAGCTAATTCTTCTTCAGAAGATTTTGATGTTTCCAGTGGTGACCTATCAGCAACAAACATCCAATCATTCATTAATCTCGCTTTGCTTAATTTGGAAGATGATGTGACTTCCATTAGCAGCTCTGAGCATAACAATATCTCGGTGGATGACTACTTGAGTGGCCGGTGGAGTTGTTCTTCAAGCTTAAATTAAAGTGTTGGTTCCAGTAGACTGTACAAAGCAGCTAAGCAATAGTCACACGTGTTTTGACTGTGATCATGAATTTGATTTATAAAAGTATTTTATTTGTTCGTGTTCTTTGCATGGGAAGCTGGCGATCTCTCATCCTGTTTTTTTTCTCAGTACATGTAAAGGGCTCCTCGGGCTTACATTTTTGTTGAGGTTCTTTAGTTTGGAGCAAAAGCTGCAGGGTCGATTTGCCGTTCTATTNGTTTGAAGATGGGAGATGTGAATATTACTCAGATGACTGCTAATCGGCAATTGAAAGATATTTTGTGACGAGTTTTGATGGTTTGCTGCAAGGGAATCATTTATGATTGACCCTGGTGTACTTTGTTCCTATTTGAATAGGTGCTTTTAATGTTGCAGCAACTGGGTAACATTATATCGGTTAGGCTCAATATTCCAATTTGAGTTTTTCGTCCTCTTAGTCAATTTGGAACTGAGTTCCAAATTGCAAAATTGTTATATTTCAAAATATAACTCAAGGAAGAAACATTTATACATCATGTCAGCCAATTTTACATGGGATTTACCAACTCTAAAAAATGACGACAAAATCAATTTGTGGGAACTAAATCGAACCCGTCCATTATTTCAATGTTGGAAAAATTCATAACTAACCATCTAATAAAAAAACATTCCATATAAAACACACTCTTCATAGAAAATTAGAAATTAATTAAACGAAAGAATTACAATGCATAAAAAATTAAAAATATAGAATGAGATATCTAATATTTAGTTAATTTGACTAGACAAAAAAAAAAAACTAAAAAACAATTTTCTTAACCCAACGGTCCAGATTTATTGAGATTTAGTGGGTTTGAGATCAAAGGCAGAAAAATTAATATACTTGCCAAATCAGTTCTTAAACCCTCGCCACCCCCGTCGCATACTCGCATTCCCATCTCATCTCGGAATCTCCCTCTGGCCACCGCTGCCCGCTGCTCTCAGTCACGCCCGCCGCTGATTTCCGGTCGCTCCGGACTGCCACGACAACAATTGCTCCAGAAGGCCACGGCCACGGAATACGCTGTAAGCCATTTTCTTCTTGTAATCTTGTTTGATTTATTCAAAGTAACTGTTGAAGGGCCGAAAAATGGATGTATTGGTGGTAAGGGCGCAGAGGTAGTGAAAATTGGGGCCGAAAAAAGAGTGAAAATTGTGTTCCCTGTTGCCCGTCTAAGGGCCTCGCCGCCTCGTACTGCGGGCCGAGGGTTCGGGCCTGAAGGTGAGGGTAAGGGACTGAGGGTAATCGGATGAGATTCGGGTAAACAATCCGGGTACCTGATTACCCGATTACCGAACGGGTAAAACCCAACCCGAAGCAGGTGTGGATAACCAGATAGCAGGTCGAGTGCGGGTGCATTTTTTAGCATGCGGGTCGGGTATGGGTATGCCAAAACCCGTACCCGGCCCGACCCATTTACATGGTCCCTATGAATATTCTTTATGCTGAAAAGTTGAAGTGTGAATTTGGTTTGCTATGTGGATCCACACCATCCAGAATAACTTGATTCAGCGAAAGCTAATTGCTTGAGTGCGTTAAATGGAATGAGTTGTTTGGTTTTCTTTCTTCACTGTGGATCCACACCAACCAGAATAACTTGATTCAGTGAAAGCTAATTGCTTGAGTGTGTTAAATGGAACAAGTTTGGTTTTCTTTCTTCACAAATTCCAAGATTGCAAAGAGAAATTAATTACGAAGCAGTTGAAGGAGTTAAAAATATTGTTCTGTATCGTATTCTGTGCATACTCGAGGTGGTTTTTCTTATCGTGCAGTAAAGTGAATATAGTAAATGCATGTATTAACTAACTGTTTTACAATTTATCAATGGGACAAAAAGGATGTCAACTCTGCCACGAGGAGAAGACAGTCATCAAGAAAATGGCAGTGAGAAGGAAGCAATGCCAGTGCCCATTCCCATTGGGTTGGGAGCTAAAATTGAGGGGCAATATCGGAAAATGAAGGAACATGCGGAGACCTACCCTTATGTGTGGGGTTCTTACATCCTTGTATACGGGGGGCTTGGCCTCTGGTTGACTTACAGGTGGAGAAAGCTCCGGAAAACTGAGGATAGGGTTCGAGTGCTTCAAGATAGGCTCCGCAAGCTAGTTGAGGTTGAGCAGCCACCAAAATCTGCTACAAAACCTGCCTCATTGCCAGACAAGGCGCCTTCGTCTGCTGATAAAAGCTGAAAAAATAGTTTGGGTTTGTGCTAATAGCTAGAGTTTGATCTATTTCGAAATAATCTTTCCTTTTGAAGTTATTAGTTTGGAGAAGCTGCTGATTTCATGCGCAGATGCTTTTTGACGTCACATTTTTTGGTGAAGATTTAGGTTTGTTGTCAGTTAAATTGTTGATTGAGCTTTGTTAAGGCAGTGGGTTGTATGTATAAGTTTTAAGTGAGACAATTCGAGAAGATCATGCCCCAACCTGTTCAGGCTTTTTGTTAGAAGTAGGTGCACTTTATAGAAAGTTGGCTTTCAAATGTGATACTAGCGATGGGGCTTTTCCTAGTGGTTATACCTTTTGATGTTGATATAACTGAAGATTTATTTTATGCTACTACTGATACTTGAACTTGGAGAGTCGGTTAAGCTTGTGCAAGTTACCCAATTTTGGCATTGCTAGTTTCAAGTAAAGCTACAGTATATATTTCATCTGGATCCTAATCCTCAAAGATGCTTGCTTGAATGTTAGTTGAGGTTTCCAATTTGTTTTGTAGAAGTTGATTTTTTTACATCATGTTCAATGCATAAGACTGCATTAATATTCAACTACGTTGAAAGAATTTTAAGAAATAGTTTTGAAATAGTAAGCATGAGAAGGATTTATAGTTTAGTAATTCAAATGTAATGGACTTGTCAAACCCTTGCCATACAAGCTGGGAATAATGTAACTACTTATGGACTTTAAACCCTTACCATGCAAGATGAGAAATGGACAGATTTATGTTATTTCGTCCAAAAATGCCTTGCCACAACATGGGACAAATTGAGTAACAGTTAGAATGATAAGAAAATACAATCGTCCATCTTCATCTATTTCACCACACGAAGAATCTTAACGATAAAAGGGGAAAAACTCCTCCCACAACTATGTATTACCCGGATTTAAGATGTATTCTAGAAAATTAAATGAATGAAAAAAAAAATAAAAAAAATTAACCGTTGACTGCCTCTGCCTCTTTAATAGGGTTCCCTGACTCGTCATCAGCATCATTCACAGAGGCTAGCATTTGAACTTGATGCTGCCGAAGTTGCTGTGCTTTCCTTCTGTTCGATTCTAGAATGATTAGGAGGGCCGTAATATCAGCAGGACTAACTCCACCAACTCGACTCGCTTGTCCTATAGTTTGTGGTCTGACCTGCAAATCCAAATGATGTGGTTGTACAGGGATAAGATAGTAAATTATAAGATATCTCAACTATCCAGCAAAATAATGTATTGGAAGTAGGAGAAAAAGATATTTAGGAGCCATAAGAAGTTTCTTCCGTCCTTCAACATGTAAAATCATTACATTTGTGCACCGAAAGAAAACGGTGAACAAACCCATAAAGGAAAATCAAAACAGTAAGAAACATATTATGTTACAAATTTGAAAAAAAGACTTGAAACGAAAATGTCTTAGAGCTGATCGGCGGACGTGTATGCTTTTTCCAATGACAAATGGTACTTATAAACGCATAAAAAGAATAAATGATAAAATATGGCAATTAAACACACAAGGGAAACGCGACTGAAAATATTTTATTGGAGCATGAGCGCTTTTTTTTTTTTTTCAGCTCGATAAAATCAGGCAAATACCTTAGACAGCTTTTCACGTGCTTCATGCGATAAAGTTTTCATGGAATAGTAATCAAGGTCCTCGGCGAGTATTTTGTGCTGTTGATGAGCCATCTACAAAATTAAAACAAAAGTCAAGACCTTGAGACTGTACCAATAAGTCGAAACCAAAAAAGCATAATTTTCTCATAATTCAGGAAATTATCCCTGTCCAAGTATCCAAGCAGAGACCAAAGGCAGACACATCATGAAAAAATTTAAAATATCATGTTTACAAACAATGATGCCCCACGATTGGTGGTTCAGTTACCTACCTGCCGGAGTTGATTTTGCTGTCGCACAATAAATCCCTCATACTTAATATCTATCTCTACACATTCCTTGTCCACCCGAGATAGTAGAGGATTGCCATATCCATGCTTGTCGAATATTTTATACTGCACGTGTGGCTTCTTAAGGAGGCTTTCTAATGTAGACGATTCCTTGACTGGCTGGCGAGAAACCTCACTAACTTCAGAAGCTAGATCACCTCCTGAGAGGAAACACGAGATGCACTTTGGGATTAGGTTGTGCTAACGTAAGAATACAGGCACTGCAGTATTTAACATGACCGCTACACAATTTTAGGAATATGAACCTTTTCCAGTCATTCAAAACTCACGCTAGTGTTAGTTTTATCATACCAGCATTCATGCTAGTAAATTTTTTCAACTGGTTGGACACTGCAAAAATCTTGTGCATACAGGATTAATTTTTGTATCCTCTTTTCATCCCTCCAATGATCTCATTTCATGGATATACCACATTCATTGATCATACAAGAGGAATTTGTCTTTTAAATTATAGCCCATCCTGATTGTAATTTTGCTACGTAGCTGATGTATACAGCTGGTTAGAAAATGTAAGGGAGAAATAAATTCTTTGGTCACACACAGAATCCAAATTTTATTTTACAATTGGTAGATTTATTTCTCTTCTGACTAAGCATTGGACAGTTAAAATATCCATCAAAGAAAATATGCAGAAATGAAAGCTGAAACATATGCTCATTTCTTTCAAGACCTGAAAAGATCAACCTGACACCCTGACTGTCTTGAGTCGCATTTTCTCTTCTAAAATCCTTGCTTGCTTGTCTTGATAGATTTTCCAGCGGGCATCATTTATCAAGCCAATTTCACGTCCGAGTGGTGTGAGGCGGCTGTCGGCATTATCGGATCGTAAAAGCAGCCGGTGTTCAGAGCGGCTGTACAAAAGAAACAATAACCTGATAATGGGATAATAATTTAAAAGATAGAGTAGCAATGCACGATCCATTACACTACACAGTTTCTCAAGAACTGAAGGTCCCATTTCCTGTTCAGATTGTCCAATAATAATGCCCTCTTCTGATTCTAAGTGATCTTTCTGAACGTATTCCAACAATATAAGATGCAACAGTAAATAAGATTTCGCAACTACTTCCAAACAACAACAACAACATAGCCTTTTAGTCCCCCAAGCAAGTTGGGGTAGGCTAGAGATGAAACCCAAGAGAACCAATGGAAGATAAAAAGTGACGACAGATGTCAAATTTCTGGACTGGCATAAATTCGTGAGGGTGATTGTCAAAGTGTTGGGTAGTTTCATTAAGAAAGAACTACCAAAATCAAGATTGTTAACAGCTTATGGCCGTTCTTTATAAAATAGGATCACCCAACTGATGTTCAAATAAGTTTTTTATTTGAGCAGTATCGTTTAAATTTTAGCATCCGAGCATCTAGAAGCTACATATCATTACAAACAATTAAAACAACTCATTTCCAAAATAATTAAACATCTGATAATAAGCTCACAAGAGTAGGACTTCATAAGACCTTTAGAACGAACTCAAGGGACTGCCCTCCAAACCAATATCACCAGATGTCTTATGTACACCTATTACGTATAATGTAATTCTTGAAAACATCAGTTAGAAGTATTTGATCCTTTTGTTAAATAATATAAACAATGAAAAGTGTAAAAGAGGAGTTATAACCTCAAGTACCTTGTTAACATCCGATAAGGCTCCCTGAGGTCCTTTGTTACCAGATCATCAATCAAAGTCCCGATATAACTGCTTTCCCTCTCCAAAACAATTAAAGATTTACCATCTGAATATCTAGCAGCATTTATTCCAGAAAGAATGCCCTGTCAGATGGGGATAAGGGAAAATAATTAACCCTTTGCCTTCGATGACAGATAGTGGTAGAATCAATGACGATACAATACAAATAGTGAAATTTGTATAAGCACAAAACCTGAGCAGCAGCTTCTTCGTAGCCAGTTGTTCCATTAATTTGACCAGAGAAAAACAATCCTTCAATTTTCTTCGTCATAAGCGACCTAAAACACTGATGTGCTGGAAGGTAATCATACTCCACAGCATATGCAGGTCTAAGCATTGAACAATTCTCTAGTCCAGGTAAAGTTCTCAAGAGTGGCAGCTGGAGCTTCTCCGGTAAGCCTGTAGAGAATCCCTGAAAGATAGTAGCCAGTAGTGGTTTCTGAATGATTATAATTTCTGCTTGTGTGCTATCCTTAATAGTAGCTATGCAATTACTAACAACACTACTCAATTCATTAAGTTTGAATAATCTCAAGTGAACTGGTCATGGAAAGGAATCTGCATGTTCAAGTCGGATGGATTTTTCAGTTGCAAACATGGGATGGGAGCTGGGTTTTTGTCGAGGGGGTCGGGGTTAACTAGAATATGAAAGATTTAAGACCTAATTGCCGGTAATATCACCACCTTACACTTTTTGGCAATTTTAACGAAACTTTTGAATATAAACAAACAAAGGCATAACCTTGTCTATATATTGCAATCCAAACTCAAATCTCGCCGGCAGTGATATTTTTGCCAGTGTGTTGCACGGCCGCGCAGCCAGGGGCAGCCCCCTCCAAGAGAAGCCTGGCCTGGTCGTGATGCTGCCTTGCCTTCTTGAGCCATTCCCATTTCATAAATACCCTTCGATTTTATTCCCATTTCAGCAAGAAAATTTGTCCAGGTAGGAGCCACAGTCGGACATGCTGGCAAAATATCAACGCCGACAGGATTTGAGTTCGGGTTGCAATATGTAGACTAGGTTATGCTTTTGTTTTCTAATATTCAAAAGTTTGGTTAAAATAGCCAAAAAGTGTAAGGTGTTGATATTACCAGCAATTAGGCCAAGATTTAACTAAGTGAAAAGAAGAACAGGAGGAAAGTTAATATACTTTCCATGCAATATTATTAAAATCACATACACCCTTCTTACCAGTTAAAACACTGCACCTTTATTTGCAATTAAAACAATCCACCTCTCAAAACAACTCTCATATAAATTTGAGCAGCTCTGGAGCACATCAAGGAGCAAGACAAAAATGCATGCTACTGACTTCCAATAAAAGGCTCCCAGATTGGGAAACTAATCTAAAGACCTAGCGAAGAGAACTGAATGACTGGATTTATCGTACACACCTGGTTGTGCCCAGTTAATCTATAGTGGAGCATAGAATTACTTTCCCAGTAGATTAAAAGAATAGTAAACAATCGTGTCATTAGAGAATAGTTAAGCTCCACAAACCTGCACATAGAGTTCTGGCACTGAGCGGCCTTCGGGTTCCAGAAATATTTGATGCGACTCTTTTTCTTGAAATCTAACAATCTTGAGATAGATACCACAATCATATTGGAAAGTGACAAATGAAAGGAGTTTGGTGAGTACATCAGAATCTCAAAAGTAGTTAATATTCGCTACAAAGGGAAAATTATTTGTTCCGACTTGTACTGCGCGCGGTTTTGCCTTTTGCAACTTATTTTTCTTTTCTTTTCTTTTTTTTTTTGGTAAATACAACATATACTACGCAAATTTAGATATCACAACATCTGGGCAGAAAGTACAAGGAAATTCGCTGGAAAATAAACGAAAATCTTATTGGAAAAATGAAAAAAGTGAAAAACATGACGAAAAAATATACAACATGGGGCTTAAGAGGCACAATGGCAAGTGGAATTAAGGTGTATGTTCAATTATGAAGGAGGTTTGTGGAAGTGGCCGCAAATGTACGAAAATGTGGCGAATATCGTGGTGGTGACCAGAATAGAAAACTAGTATGAGGAAACCAATTAATATAGTGCTTTTGTACAAAATGGATAGGGAAATGTAGATGTATGTCATATGTTTGTGATTCTGGCAAAGGGAAGGTGCCAGAATCAGGTTTCCGATGCGTTTTCTGGTCAGAGGTTGCGAAAAATAAATGCCCTGTAATATATGTTGCATTTTAACAAAGACATAGTTTAAGTTACAAAAGCCAAAACTATAAAAAATGCAGGTTGGAACAAATAATTTTCCCATCTACAAAAGCATATTTCTTTTCAGAGGCTATGTACTGAAGAATTTGTGTGAGGAAAAAGTAAGATGGCAAGAAAGCACATTTAGTCCACATCCAAACCTTGTCCTCAATGGAGGGGCAGTATCGAGGTCCCTTAGATTCTACCCATCCTCCATAAGTAGGGGTCTCATGCAAGTTGTCTTTGATTAACTGATGAGTCTTCTTTGTAGTACGTGTGAGATAGCAGCACATTTGTTCTCTCTCAATATGGTACTCGGGATCATAGCTAAACCAGCCTATCTGTTGATAATCATATAAATTTTTTATATCATGCTCCAGAATTTTTGATACAATCATGTAGGACCATGAAAGAAAAAAGGGTCCCAATAAGTGAAAGAACATGGTAAAACTGAGAACAGCAATTACATTCAGAAGACAATAAGCAGCTCCTACACAGCTTGAGGAAGACTTTCTGAATAAATTTTAAATGTAGCAACCACATGATACAGTTATCGTACATTCATAAGCTCACCACACAACATACAAGGGATTTACACAGCCTAACATAAGGTGAAAATCCATATACATATGCAGGTGTTAGGATAGGTAATTGATGATGACTATCTTTTGGATTCATGAAAGCAAGCAAATAAAATCTTTCAAGAAAAAGTTAGCCTAAACTCATGTCTTGATCTCTAATATAAGGAAAACATTAGGTTGGGTTTTCATATCATATGGTGAACCAAATAAAGCATTTAACAATTTAAGAAAAACTGTGTATTATTGACTTGCTACTGGGCCTACACAGGAAAAGTGAGATAACCTCTTCATCTCCATGTTGAGGCTCTAATCCAGAGAACTCTACTGTACGACAATCTACACGAGCCGGGGTTCCTGTTTTCAACCGGTCTGTCTCAAACCCAAACTGCTGCAAATTTTCGGTGAGGCCATGTGAAGCTGATTCACCAGCTCTTCCTGCAGGCATAGAAGTTCTGCCAACCCAAATTTTCCCACTCATGAAGGTGCCAGTAGTCAGAACTACAGAAGGTGCATAGAACTCCATGCCAAAGAATGTATGAACTCCTTCCACATTGTCATTCTTTCCAACCAAAATATCCGTAACCATAGCTTCTCTAATGGACAAGTTAGGTGTACTGGTAACAGGAAAAGCAGTTTGGAATGACATCAGCAGATAGCTTTAACAAATAAATGTAACATCCAAGTTGACATAAAGGAGTAAAATGCAGGTATACAATATACATTCATGCAAAAAAAAAAAAATGGCCAGTATTTACGTATACTTGGGAGTCCAAGCCTGGGCCATATACATCTTCATGGGTGGATTTTTTGTCCCTATTACTGATCCAGGCAACATCTACTATTCTACATTTAGATAAACTTTCTCACCAAAGGAAGCCTTCCCACGACTCCAAATACAGGTACTTACTCTCAGTATAGGTTACGCTACATAGATCCTATATAGAACCAGCAGCTTCATAAATTGAGCAGCAAACAACCCAAAACAGGCCATAAACTTCTGCTGGTCATTGATTCCTAGCAGAGTGAATAATGATATTCACTCTTCCAAGAGCTACAGTGTCTCAAATCTTCACTACTGCAACTGTATATGATATTCTCATGCATGTCCTACAATAGGGAACAGATATTGGAGGCACAACCAACTATATGAACCCAAACAGTCTAACTAAGGTTTAATTTGCAGTTTTGCACGAAAATGCACTTCATAATCCAAACATCTTTTTTGCCGCATGAATTCGCAGTGTTAATATGCACAACTAAACTGGTAGATGTTTCTTGATATATGAGCACTCTACAAACATCTGGAATATTGATAGAAGTCATTTAGAGTTTCGACCAATCTGACAATAAAAGTTGTATAACTACTAAATTCCACCATATGAGATTTAGAAATGATGTCACGGAAACATAGTAAAAGAGCAAAGAACTTCAAGCTGAAGTGGAAATATTCCACTCATCGTATTCAGCTGACATCCCTTACTACATATCATTGTAGTTCATCTAAGGAGACAGCAGACGATAATGAACTATTCATAAGACATATCTTCTTAATGAAGCATAGCATGCAAAAACTAAATTAAAATGCACAATATAGATTTTGGTGTAGTCACAATTATTAATCTCTCAGAATGCTTATCAAACTGCAAACAAATGATAAGTTTTAGCACATGAATAAGTAACTTGCCTTTCAACAATTTTCTTCATTTCTAATGCATATTCCCGTTTATCAGTCTGAGCTCGCAATGCCCTGACAGCAGGGCCTCGTGAGACATTTAAAACTCTCTTCTGCAAGTAGCATCTGAAAGTATGAACATCATGTCCACTCATTTTCAGGACAACTTAAATAAAAAGAAGATCAAGAAAAACAAAAAAGTAAATTATCTATCAATTAGAAAGCTCCGAGTGACAACTCAATATTTATATAAACCTGAGTCCCTGAACACCAAAACTAACACATCTTATACCATAGCGAAGCAAATCTTTCAGTTATTTTCATTTGATGTCCTTCTACTTTGGGACTGTTGACAAGACGACGATTTCATAGACACAGAATACACAGTTTGATCTCCAAAATCAGACCAGTGCTTCTCCATAATGTAACTACTCAATAAACTGTTCATTGCTCATGTATTTGTGATTCTGAATAACGCTTTCCATATTTTCTGCTCAACCCACAGTAATAAATATAGAATGTCCTGTTTCTCATTAAATTTTTGAGATTAATTTTTCACATGGGAGCTTCTTAAACCACACAGAAAAACACCTGCTTCTTAAACCACACAGAAAAACGCCTTTACTCAAGCAGATTTGTTAAAATAACATAAAGATTATAGGAAAATTGCAAACAATGGATGAAACAAGGAGCGCAATAGTTTGGTCATCACTTCCTCTACCAAATAATCAAGAAAAAAATAATCCATAACCCTTAACAAGAAAAGACAAGGACACAACTAGAGCAACACGCTGAAATGAGTGCTGTGGATGACTGGATGTAATGGGAATCATACCTATTCAGTTGGACAAGCAACCTGACTCAATAAAAGTGTCAAGACACAACAAAAGCATTATGGTTTACTGAGAATATGATGCAATGATTACGGAACATTAAATGTCGAAGCCATGCAATATCAGTGCCAACAGAGTTTCTAAGATTTTTTATTCTGTTTTACCTATCGGCTACTTTTCCAATTTCACCACCAAGTGCATCCACTTCATGTACAAGTTGAGACTTCGCAGGTCCACCAACAGCAGGATTGCAGGGCTGTATTGATCTCCACTTAGTAAAGACAGTATATGCAAATTAAAAAGAGAAGTCCCTTCACAAGAAACCACCACATGTGCTAAATCACATTATATGCAAACTTAAAAGAAAAGTCCCTTCACAAGAAACCACAACATGTGCTAAATCGCATACGATCAGCGCTATATGAAATTAGTGCAATTTTGTTGAAAAGTTATACTACCTAAAGGTCAATTTTGTAGACATACATTCTGCACTTGTTTATATATCTTGATAAGAGAACTCCTTCAAAACTAGGACATACAACCTTACATTCCATTAACAGACCTGCCATGCAATGCGATCAATGTTAAGTGTGAGAAGAAGTGTTTTTGCTCCAAGACGAGCAGATGCAAGGGCAGCTTCACATCCTGCATGCCCACCGCCAACAACAATCACATCATATCTTTCATCTGACGCGTCCCTCTGATTATTTAAACCTACATAACAAACCAGAATCCAGATACATAAATCTTTATCAGCCTGATCAAATCCCTTGTAATGCAAGGCCCCAACGGAACATTATTTTAGTAAACAAAGTCTGAAAGTGAGAACCTTTAAACATCTGAATTATTTAAACATTCATGTACAACGGAGTGATGAAACACGAATCGGCACAGATATTTATCTTAATGCAGATTACTAATCACAGCAAGTCGATTTGATTAAACTTATAATTTGAATCTCCAACAAAAAAATTATCACTAGCAAAAAATACCATTAGAACTCTTCAGAGCTATATAGTGGCAGATTCATATTTATAAAGAGACACAAGATTTCAGCAGAACAATATAAACAGTAAACAGCCATTCAGCAAGCATTTCTCCGTCAAATTTGAACAATATATAAATTTCGAAGGGAAAAAAGGAGAATAAAGAAAGAAAAAAAGAAACAGAATGGAAACTTAGTAGGTGCTTTCCATTCTCACATCTTGTTCAGTTCGTTGGCAACTACGCAAGCACTGTTTGCGGGAAGAAAGAATAAAAACTGAAACAGAGGACAGAAAAACATAAAATGCGCCAAATTCAGCTCGATGAACTGCCAGTTTGAGCAACAGCAGACCTTCATAAGCGGAGGCCAGAGCACAAAACCCGCGACGTCGGGCAAGGTAAGGAGAGCCGGAGAAAGCGCGGTACAAGTGGAAACGCGGCCTAATGCGACGACTGAGCGACTGAGGGCACCTTCTAGCAAATAAACGAGGGGCAAAGCGCGAGTGAAGTGGAATTTGCGAGGCAAATCGAGCGAGATGAATAGACAGAGCTGTTGTGGTCATCTTTTCGGGTCTCTCTTCGTTTCAGGGTAATTGAGTCGCAGCTGCCATGGCAAGTCCGGTGAGCCAAACACGGTGACAATTGGGTTGGGTTTATGATCAGCTTCTTTACCTCCATACCCATTTATCTATTCACCAATAAGGAATAGACTAGTATAATACATGTGTATTACACGGGTGTTAGAATTAGAAAGCTTTTGTAAAAAATATTAATTTTTTTATTTTTTAAAAACTAAAATAATTTAATTTTATATAAAATATTAATTGTGAAATTATATTTTTCTAATCATAATAATTAAACACCCGTACATTAAATGAAAATATCAACCCGTATTAAATTTTTTTACTTATATCATATAAAAATATCGATATTACTTACTATTACATAAGTACAGTATATATCTTAAATAAATAGAAATAATATGGTGATATATATATACATAAGTGTAGAATATGTTTATTTAATATTAAGCAAAATAAATTAATTTTTTTACTTAATTAGATGTCTAAAACGTCAAGTGTCGTATTAGTCGTGCTTCACAATTTTTTAACTTTATATGTAATTTTAGAATTTATATAAATAATTATTTATTTTTATTATATTGACAACATACCAATTAGATTTGAAATAAATATCATTTTTAAAAGAATACATACCAATTTCTATTACTTTATAATATAATTTATAATTTTATTTGATATAATTTAATTTAGTTTGATAAATAAATTTAAATTTTATTTATAAGGATATATATTACTGTTTTGTATTATATATATATATATATAAATAAACTAGTCAAATACAAACGGACTTCGTAATATCAATTCAAATGCAACACTAATTAGGATTTTTTTTTTCTCTTGACAATTTTAACCCTATTTAATAGATCTTATGATAAACGATGAAGATGGAATATGAAGAGACATTGTGTATTAAATGGAGTGTTAAATATGGAAAAATATGAACAAAATATCTAAAACGATATTTATTTAATCAATGATCAATTAAATCAAAGTGACAAATAATAAAAATAGAAGGGAGTATATATTATATATTTTAGTATGACACATTTTACTTGTGCGACTTATATGTGTTATATTATAATAAATTTTAAATCTTATAACATATAACTACATTAAACATAAATATATTAATTGATAAATAATTATTTTCAATTTTTTTAATAAATAATTTTATTATTATTATAAAAATAAATATAATTTCTTTATTTTGTATATACAATATGGATGTCAAATCGAAGCTCATCAAAATATGATTAATTTGATATATTGTATGTAAAACCGATAAGAAATACAAAAGTTATCAACTTTTAAAATATATTTGCAATTCATTGGTTACTAGTAGAATACCCGTGTATTACACGGGTGTTGAATTAGAAAGCCTTTATAAAAAAAATATTAAATTTTTTATTTTTTGAAAAACTAAAATAATTTAATTTTATATAAGACATTACTTTGGGTTTTAATTAAATTGTCAAATTATATTTTTTTAATCATAATAATTAAACACACGTACATTAAATGAAAATGTCAACCCATGTTGAATTTTTTTACTTATATCATATAAAAATATCGATATTATTTACTATTACATAAGTACAAAAATATATGTTATTATTATAAAGATAAATATAATTTATTTATTTTATATATACAATATGGATGTCAAATCGAAGCTCACCAAAAGATGGTTAATTTGATATATTATATATGTAAAACCGATAAGAAATACAAAAGTTATCAACTTTTAAAATATATTTGCAATTCAATGGTTATAATAGGAAATGATATTAAAATACAATTATTACAAATATTAATTTATATCTAACCCTAACTCCAAAGCATGATTTTTTGCCAAATAAAATTTTGAAGCATGAGAGTTTGCCAGTAGGCTCAGCGTATTCTGAAATTATATATATCAATTTATATCTAAGCCTAACTATAAAGCATGATTTTTTGTCAGAATTTCGAAGCATGAGAGTTTGCCACGTAGGCTCAGCGCATTTTGAAATTATATATAGAGGGGAATATTTATTACATGGCCATCTTATAATTTAGCACCAAGCAAGGGGCGAAATTTGCAAAAAGAAGTTTCTCAGCCCTACAAAGCTACTAGCCTACTACCATCTAAAACTTCAAATCACGGAACATGGCGCCACTTTCCGTCTAAATAATCATACATACAGTTACATTTTAAAATACAACGAAATAAATCCCAAATCCGCCCGATTTTTGATTTCCTAAACCCTAGAATTCTCTCAAGATAGGGGAATGGCGAATCATAATAAGGCAGCGTGCCCTGAGAATGAAGAAGTTGCCGCTTTTTTGTTGAATAAGCGGCAAGAAATGGCGCAGAGTGCCAAGGGAATTTCTGAAAACATGGACATGACGCTTTCCAAGGCATATTCCAACATCTGTCATTGCAAAACCCCTATCAGAAACCTTAGGGATTTGTCCCAAATTAAGTGAGTGAGAAACTGAGAATGCCTTACAAATTGTGCTCAGTGTCATTTGTTTTATGGAATATATGTTCATCAGCTATCCTACACTTCTGAACGGTTATATATGTTCAATAACATTCGTTGTTTCATCAGTTGAGTGTCAGCTTGTATTTGTGATTTTTTTTCATCATTTTCTGTTTTATCGTCAGGATGTTGAAGACCTAGCACAATATGTATAAGTAGTTGTACATTGTCTATAATCTCATACGTGGGGTTGAAATGCTTTTTTTGGCCTCTAGTTCTTGTATTTGTGATTTAAATTGTAGTTCGACAAATCAATCTTTACTTTTTGTAGTACTTCCCTTTTCATTTATGTTTCATACTTAAGAGATGTATGTTGTGTTGAAGGTTTACATATATATTAAGACTTTTCCCTTTTAGCACAGCTGCAAAATGACTAGACCTAAGTTCTTGGTTTGTATTTATGTTTCCATATGGAGAATTACAGTTCATTTTATTATTTCAGTTAGTAGATGATCTATCATTTTACGAAGCATTTCTGTTGTCTGCACCAAAATTTTAATACGGGTAACATTAAAATAAAGTGGATAAAAAGAAAAAATGAACTTTCCTTGATTGGAATTGTACATATGATCGTAGGGGCGTGGGTAAGTGGATTCTGAAGCAAATGCAAGGCTTTTTTGAGACAGGTTCTGATGCTTCCGATAAAGATAGCTTGACGAGAAATGGTAATTTATGCAGCACAAACATATTTTTATTGATTAGAGATATTTTCAGTGAGTGAAACGTATATTTTTCTATTGCACTCTTGCATCTGTCTTCTGTAGTTAATCTACATTGTCTTATAGGAGGGAAAAATAAGGGACCTAGGCGCTATGTGCCACAAAAAAACTCTGTTGCTTATGCCCTACTTATCACACTCTTCAGGTAAATGGTTGGCGGCTTAATTATACTATTAAATTTTTGTTTTACACTATTAGAGTTGTTTCTTTTGGTTATCTACTTTTTACAGTAAGATAGCCATTAATTTTCTTTTTCATTTGCTTTAGGGGGACACAGAAGGGGGATGAGTTCATGCGTAAAAAGGAACTTATTGATGCAGCTGAAGCAAGTGGATTGTCTCGTGTGCCAATTGCGTAATATTGATGTTTCAGTTGAGGAAAGATCATAGTATGCTAGTTACTTAAATAAGTTTTGACAAAACTGCCCTTTTATTTGTAGGCCGGAAAAGGCTAAAGGAAAAGCTGGAAACTTTGGAAGCTCACCAAGGGACTGGTACAGTGGATGGAGCTGCATGAAGACGCTAATAACTAGAGGCCTTGTTGTGAAGTCTAGCTGCCCGGCCAAGTATGCTCACTCAATCACTTCCTAATTTGCGCTTGGGTACAGCATTGAAGCTACTGTTGCTAAATGGTCAAGTACGAAGAATAGTAGTATGCGAAGAGAGAGTATATAATGCACACTTTGTGTCTCAGTTGAATGATTTTTTAGTGGTTGACAATCAGATTTTGTGGCCTGTAGATATATTCAAAGTGGCGCTGTCACTTACTTATTTCTGATATTCTTGTAACTGCTTGATATGCAGTCGTACAATACTTAATGAAACCTTCTTCGGTGTTCACCCAAACATAGAAGAATATTAATTGGTTGAATAGTTTGTTATCTTATGAAATCATGAGAATAGTAAGTAATGCGGAAACCATGTGGTGATCTGTAGCATATTTAATTGTATCCACAAGAGATTTCCTTAAACCAATTTTACTCCAAAGTCATAAGTTGGGATTATATATCTATTAGTGCTTGTGAAAGGCTGATATTACGTTTTTCCCATTTTCTCAACCAATTTTTTTGTAGGAACAAGTCAGAAAGACTGCGTATTAATATTAATGATATTGATATATTATATCTGTTTTCACTAATTCTCTGATAATTTTGCATGCAGGTATATGTTGACTGAAGAAGGGAAGGAAGTAGCACGTGAATGCCTCTTAAGATCTGGAATCATTGATCCAGATGAGAGTTTGGATGTGTTGGAAGATTGTTCAAATTTTGAACAAAGAGAAACCCTCCAAGTTGATATACAAGAAGAGATACCAGAATTAGAGTGTTTAGTTGGTGTTTCAGTTCAAAAAGCAGGACCTATTAATTCAAAGATGACAAAGATACCAGTTGACGTGCCACCTCAATATCTTGATAAGGTCCATATTAATTAACTTATGCCTCTACAAGTTTCCTTAGGTTTGTCAACCTACTGTAGGAGTTGACAATGCATAATCATTATTTAGTCATTTCTATATATTAGATTTTTTATTTAGCCAAGTTATATTGATTAGTTGTTCAATTGGTATATGTAACCTTGTTTGCATCATAACATCATATGACCTTTATCATATATATATATATATATATATATTATTTTATTTTTTTCCAATTCTGAAATAATGATATACTATTGCTATCTTTGATTATGGTTTGGTTAATTTCTGGGATGTTGATTCTGGAGATTGATAGTAAATTGTGTTGATAGTAATGTCAGATCAGTGTTCTTTAGTGCTGTATGTTACATTTCAGAATACAGAAAAAAATATACATAATAGTTTGATTAAACACCTGGATGATTGTAAGATGTATGTTAAGGATTCAAAATACACCTCGTAATTTTGACTCCCCTAAAAAGGGACCAGGTTTATTAGGTGTATTTTTACTGTAATTTTCTCTAAACTTTGCAAGTTTGCTTCTCATTGTTTGCTCTTCGATGTGATTCATATTCTCTTCTTCATGGCAGTTCCTTCAAATGGGGTTTTCCCGGGAGCAAATTAACCATGCTTTTAATGAGGTTAAAGGAACATCCCCAAAAAAGGATACATCGTCACTTTGGCTAACTTTACTTTGTCGACTTCGAGAAGATGAGATTTATGCTCCAGCTTCCATAACTAAATCTGCAAGAGTTGTCAGTGGTGCTGCTCCTTCACCTTACCAACATAAAGATGGTAGTGGTCTTCATTACTGCTAGAATATGATAAAGATATGTTGTATATAATCTAATAGCGCAGAAGTTTCTTCTTTGATGTCAGGTCGAACAGGCATTTATTTCGATGAAATTAAGCAATCTGGTGCAGTTGCTGTATCAAGTAATCAAAAGTTCGGGCTGGGTTCTTGTACATTAAAAGCTTGCTCATCTACTGTAAGTTCCTTTTCAGATTGGCCATGGTGTGTCACACTCTAACTTATAATTCTTTGGGTGAGGTAAGGGGTGAAAAGTCATGTAGATGGGACACACCACGATTGTGTAATAAAAGATAAGGGATGAGGAAGAAGAACTAGGAGGTCAAAATATTTTTCCTAGCCATTTGTACTGCCTCTGGAAAAATGGGAGTTTTTACAAGGAGGGAGAGTACCAACAATGGTCAATGAGTATGATACGAAGAGCAATAGGACAAGAAGGATATGAACATTAATTTGACATAGATTTCTGTATCCATTCTCTCTCTCTCTACACCAAAATTCCATGGTAAGAGAAATAGAATTTGCATGAGAAACATAGGTGGATTTGCAAGAGCACAGCTTGAATGATGAGTACTGAAACCTAACATGGTAGTTGTCTTATACTGGTCTTTTGAGCGTATTGAAGGTCTGGCTAGACAGTATTTGGTTTTATTTCATTAAATCAAAAGATTGAGGTGTGAGTATAATAAAGTTTCACCAGCTTGTTCTTTTCTTCATACTTTTTCTAATGGGATTTTCAGGATTATGATACGAACAAGCTTGGCAGAGGATCAAAAGCTAAGCATAATATTTTAGCAGTGCCACCTCTGGCAATTGGAGAGAAGTTTGGTGATGTATACGAAGTGATACTGATACTTGATAACCGTGAGCAATTTGCTACACAAGGGTGAGTACAGTTGTAATAAGAAGTTTTCTGATTCTAGTGACAATTTAGGTACAGTTTGAGCATAATAGTCAGTTTCCTTAGCATATATGTAGTTAGTTGTTGGTATATAATCTCTTATACAAGTTTAACTGAAGAAAGTTATTGATTGTTTCTACACTATTTTTGCTGGAACATGTTTTTTTTGGTGTGTTTTACTTCATGTAAGTATAGCAGACAATTTCCAACTAGGACTTGACTTGTACATGGGCCTGCTTGCTTGAGCGGATTTGCCATTAGGGGAGCTGATAGCTTCTTCACCTTTTCTTATGCACACAAATTAATATCATGAAATCATTTTATTTCTCATTCTCCCAGGCTTTAAAATGAATAATTTCTGTTACTAAAGTTATACCTTGACATGAGTTAGCTGTATTGTGTAGCTTAACTAATTTTCCAATACAATTGATTCTGATTTTTTAATAATAACTTTGTTCTTGCTATTTACAGGCCGCGCTCTGGGAAAATTATTGAGAACATATGTAATGAATTCAAAATTAAGATAGATGTAAGTTTACATTGTAGCAGAAGACTTTCATCTTACCTCTGTTTACATTATATTTTCTCTCTTCCTTTTTAGCTTGGATTGGTCTATTTAGTTACATAATGTAAGCATTTAATTCACTCATATTCAGACTCAAGATCATCACCTTCGGTGCATAAATTTGCCACCTTGATCTAGGTGTGCCATGTGTCGTTCATAGGCCGTTGGCCTTGCAGTACTCCACATTGATGCATACAGAAATCCATTTACTGAGATGATTTTTATTGATCCATTGACAGGTTAGAAGGTTACCTGTGGGGGATGGCATTTGGATAGCTCGTCATAAAGATCTCGGTAGCGAATATGTTCTAGATTTTATTGTTGAAAGGAAGAAAGTTGATGATTTGCGACATTCGATTAGGGACAATAGATACAGAGATCAGAAAATGAGGCTAGTGGTAATGGTTCTTTCGTATGTCCTTGTGTTACATTCTTCTGATTGATTTGAATGATATTTGTCAATATGTAGCTACATCCCTTTTCTTTTGGTTCACTACTTTTGTTACCATGATCTCATTAGAGAATTGTGGCAAACCAAACACATTTTATCCTGAGGAAAACTATATGCACCCCTCTTAAGTTGTAGTAAAATGACGCATCTCAACATTATAAGAATGTGGATTATAGATATCAAAGGAGGTGAGGTTGTAAATATAAGTTAATATGCAAGGTATGCACTTCTGAACCCCAGTACTAATGACACGTTTCAACATAATGAGAATGTGGATTATAGATGTCGAAGGAGGTGAGGTTATAATATAGTTTATATGCAATGTATGCACTTCTGAACCCCCTACTAACTCTGTCATATTTTAATTGTATACCGACTGGCACGTCTAACTTCCCCATGTTTTTTGCCTTATGGCTTCTATGATGGAGGAATATATAAGAAAAAGAAACTCCATAATAATGATAATATTTTCTTGTACAATAAAGGTTTAGGAAAGTGGTCATTCATTCTTTGTTTGTTTATTGATAGAAGAACTCAACTGACATTGCAATCTAGTCTGGTCCATAAGGTTCCCTTCCTTAATTGCCATCATGCACATTTGAGGCAAGGTGCAGAATGATGATTATTCCAATACTCCTATCCTCCTGTGAAATTGGATTCAGGCGTTTTATGTTCAAAACTAGCTGTTGGAGTCACTTATATTTTTGTTTTTATATTCTTAATTCAGTAAATCTTTTCCACCTCAGTTTTGTTGAGGGGCATCTAGCAGCTGTTTAGAAAGGATCATTAACATGTTACTTCTGTTTTCCTTATATAAATTAGAGATGTGGGCTTAAAAAGATGATATACCTGGTGGAAGGTGATCCAAATTCTTCAGAGGCTTCTGAAAGCATCAAAACAGCGTTAGTAATACTGCAGATCCTCTAT